TTTTTAGGCAAGACAAAGTGATTTGTGAAAAAGTAGGAACATAGACTGTATTCCAACTCCTATTTTCTCTTCACCTGAACTCTTACACCACCCAGGTAGATCAGAAAGCTGTGTTATATGATCACTTAAAAAAAAATCACTCCACCCTTCCCCTGAGTACTTATATTAGCTTAGAATTTCCAACTTCCACAATAGTTTATACATCAAATTTGCTTTCCTAACTTACTCTAAGAAACTATTCTAGTAGCTCTGAATAACTTGAGAAAATAGGAAAAGCCACAGAAAAATCAGAAGTGAGATGAATTGAGAAAGACCTGTTATGCAGGCTTTTTTCTACATGTCTGTTAATTTTTCAGTGGACTGGTGAAGGCAATATTTGTACAGGATTCCTCTCTCCCTCAGGGCCACAGAACTTGAGAGTTCCTCCTCTTGTTTCTATTCCATTAGGTACCTTTGCTAACCTCACATGCAAAAATAACTGCTAATAAAATATACTAGTAAACATGCACAGATAAACATAGATATGTATAAATCACTGTCATATATGCATATTTCAAAGACATTCAGTGGCGATAGAAAGGTAGAAAGAACCCAGCTCAGCTGCTGTATTTATACAGAAGGGAAATTAAGTAAAACTATGTGGCTTAGCAGTCACATTAATGAATGAGCCAGTACAGGAAGCGATGCCGTCTACCTTCCAAGCAACTCCTACTTTTTCTTCTCTCCAGTCCCCGTCTCTGTTCAGGAGGTAAAAACAGAATGGGCATTGTTGAAAGTCTTAAGGTTTAAACAATTATTGTTACTTCAAATAATTTCTAAAATTGAAATCATCTCACTTAAAAATATATGATTGTCTCTCTATTTTTCAATAGCTTAATAATTGAGCACTGAGATTTTTAGCTTTAAAGATTTTAGAAATTAACCAAATAATGCATGGTAATGATGGAAATGTACCCAGCAAGTCAGAACGTGGTTGTGACCAACTGCTGACATGCACAGGGGAGCAGACCACCTGCATTTGGGAGGCTCTGCCTTCTGCCTTCTACTGTCCACAAGATTGTTTCTTTAGTTGTACCTTCTGTAGATAATTCCACTGCTCTGCCTTTGTTAGAGTGGCAGTGGACTGAACATTGTGAAGATTATTAGCTGCCATAAAGCAGCCAGCCTCTGGTGAGGTACAGACAACAACGAGCATATTTTTCACTTTAAAAAAAAATGATCAAGAAAATTACAAAGGCAGTTAAAATCTTTATTCATTGTTGTAAATGCACAATAAGTTGTTTTCAGTATTTTCAGTGAAGGGCAGTAGAGCACTTCAATGTAAATATAGGTGAAATGAGAAGTATATGCTTGTCGAACACTTGTTACCTCGCTTAAGTTGAATTAGTGTCCTAGACGATGCATTGCTTGCTCTAATATGGAAGCAAAACACCTGCCAACGTTGCTAAGTAGTGTTGTCCCAAAATTGTTTGGCTTTATGAATCTTGGTCTCTGTTTGAATATGTTTCATTTCTTAGTTCAGAAATTACTAATCTTAACTATTAGAGCATTGGAAACTTAGAATGAATGTTTTATGGTAAATTACCCTTGTTTTTCCATTTATGCTTTAAAAAAGGAAAAAAATGAGGTCAAATGAATAAATTACTGAATTTCAAAGTTTGGCTTCTTGGAATGAAGGTCAGTCAGGTAAGTAGTAGGGTCTGTACAATTCTGACTGAGATAAGGAAATAGGTTTTGTTTCCTTCTTTAATTTGCAGTGGAACAGACAGGGCTCATGACTATCACTAGTTGCATTTGTTTGCATGCAATTTCAAAGTTAAACCCTAACAGATTTAACAGGATTAAATCCTAACAAATTTAATGGTTCCCTATACTGCTGATATAACACAGTAGCCAAACGTGCGTTCCAGATGGCTTTGAACCTAATTAATTTTTCACTAGCATTAATAACTCACTGTTTCAGTAAAACCAGGTGGTAATTGATTTCCAATGTTTTGGTTTTGCTTCATACAAAAAGCTTAATAAAAGCAAAGAAGAATGTAACACACTACTGTGGGATTCATAAATGTTTTTTATTTTATTTTACTTTAATATCAAATTGTCCTTAGGAATGAGCCCACTATTTCTTTATATTGGGGATGAAGTAACATGTCTCATATATATGTATTTCAAGAGACAATTGATTTTCATGACTCAGTCTTATTAGACTAGCAAATTAAAATATTTTGGACAAGAAGAAATAAAGGAGAAGGTAAGGGATTTTATAACTCAAGTTGGAGATTACTCCTCTTTGACTTTGATGTATTTTGTAGCTATTATAAAACAATGTAAAACTTAAAGTGTATTTTTGGCCTCTAGTGGTTGTTTAACTGATAGACTTACATTTTCTGTTCTTACAGCTTAATTTGAAAATGAGGCTCCATTATCTTTGCTCTGAAAGGTTTTAGAGTTTTAGTGTTCTTTAGGGGAACTATTCTCTAGAAACCATTTAAAATGTATTTTAAACAACGTTTATGTTTACTAGATATGGAATTTAGAAAAGCCACCCTAGGGATTTAAAGAGAGATCAGGCATTTCTGCATTTTAGAAAAATATTTGTTTACATGTGTACCATTCATGATTTGGAAGACCAGGTGCACTGGAAACCAGAGTATAATGATCACATCGGGACTAGCTGGAGTTTTCTACCTTAGCAATATTGAAATCTGCATATTCTTAGTAACTATATTTACCATCACTATAATACTTGCTATAATCGAAAACAAAAGCAAGCATTTTCCTCATTTGAGGTTTTGTAACATGTCCCTCCATCCTTCAGCCTCTGACTACCATGCAAATCTTTACTTATGGGAGAACTTGTGGCACTTCTCCGACACTTTAGTTAGCATAATGCTGCTTGAGGTGATGGACACCTTAACTAGTTGATTTAATCATTCTACACTATATTCACAAATCATAACATTTTGTGATATTTCCAGTGCATATGATTAGTTATTCTCTTACAGTGAAAACAGAAAGAACACCATTTGCACACATGTAGGACCTTATTCTTTATTATTTCTTTAAATTTGATTTTCCTATAAGTAGGCATTGGTATCATGATTTTTACTTATTCCCCCGTGAATAATGATGTGAAATGGCTCTTTTTACAATTACTTTTCTATTCATTGAGTCCACTGTGTCTCAGACATTGAATGATGCATAAAGAGCTACAAAAACCAGTAGATACACTCTTGCCATTGGTGAATTCACAGATTCACAGGGGAAAGTTATTAGCCATTTTTATATAGTTTAATTCTATGCTAGAGCATCACAGAGGAAGGGACTCAGTTCAGATGAAATGGAGTTATTAAGTCAACAGTATTTAGTCATCGAAATGTTTCTCTGAGGACTTTTTCTTTAACCAGAGCCTAGCAGGATACATAAAGGACAAACTAAATCTATAATGTCAGAAAAAAGAGAGACAAAACTATATGCAAAGGCATAGGTGGGATAATATGACATGTTAATACAAATTATCACATCTGGATGATGGAGTGATATATGTAAAAATGGCCACTGCTATGGGTTGTGTCTACCCCCAAAGCATGCACTGGCAACTTAACTCCACCAAAGCATCAGTGTTGAGTGGTAAGGACTAATAAGAGGTACTTGGACCCCGAGGGCTCCCTGCTCAGGTTGATTAATGAGGGTTACCACAGTATTTGAGGCTTGGAGTTTGTTCTCTCTTGAGTTCTCCCATATGATGCTTTTACCACATTATAATGCAGCAGTAGATGTTGCACAGACTTGTCAGCACCCAGTTCCACAATCCAAAGAGTCTCACTGTTTGTAAACTTTAGAAGATCAGGTTTTTTGAGCCAGATGGACTTACTTTTGCATACCACAGAAGGACTGTTTTCTGACTTTAGGCAAGATACTGGACGTTTCTCTGCTTTATTTTTCTCCTCTAGGAAACGATACCTCCTTCTCAGATTTAAATGTTGAAGGGACAAATTTGTTTTGAAGCATGCCTAGTATAAACAGTGTTTCACATAAACTGTATATAAACATGTACCTCTTATCTAATAAGATATGGCATAATGTGCAACTAATCGTCCTCGGTAATATATTAATTGGGGAATAGGAATGGATAAGAAGTTCTGTGTATTCAGCTCAAAGCCACTTTCTTATTCTCTACTCTCCATTTACTATTTTGTGTTGCTTATTTAAAACACACAGTTAAATATGTTCAGTAAACACATAGAAGCACAGTGTATATCTATATCTCACTGTTCGTAGTTAAAAAAAAAATAGTTATCTGGGTGTGGTGGCACATGCCTTTAATCCCAGCAGAGGCAGAGGCAGGTGCAGGTGGATCTCTGTGAGTTCAAGGCCAGCCTGGTCTACATAGTGAGTTCCAGGACAGCTGGGGCTACAGGGAGACCCTGTCTCAAAAAGACCAAATAAATAAATAAATAAATGAATGAATAAATAAATAGTTGTAGTCACCAGCAATTATTACAAAAGACAAAAACAGTGGGCCCTTTTGAACATTTAAAATTTTGAGAGTTAGTGGTAAGCCCATAGAAATATATAAACATTTATTTTTTTTAATTTATGTGTTTGTTTGAGTGTATGCCATGAATGTGCAGGTGGTTGTAGAGGCCAAAAGAAGGTGTCAGGTCTCCTGAAGCTGGAGTTATAGGCAGTTGTGAACCACTCCATGTGGGTATTCAGAACACAACTTGGGTCTTCTGGAATGCAAGTGCTCTTAACCAATGAGCCATCTCCAACTCCTGATTTTTACCTTATTTAAAAAAAAAAAAAACTGTGTGTGTGTGTGTGAGCTGCTTGCAGAGTCCAGAGGTAGGTCCTCTGGAGCTGGAGTTACAGGCAGTTGTAGGTACTGAGAACTGAACTGAACCTGGTCCTGCAAGAGCAGTACTTGCTCTTAACCACTGAGCCATCTTTGCAGCCCTGCAAATACATTTTAATGTTAAATTATCCACATCTTAGAGTCTATCTCTACTGCTTATTCTTTATTAAAACAGTTGCATAGCAGTTGTTCCAGTGATACAATGAACAAAACCACACTGGACACCTTAAAGAGTGCATCAGTTGTATGTTCAGCAGACATCAAAAGAGCCCACAAACCATCGACTCATAATTTTAACAAGTTTATACTTAACCTACTTTTCCCAGCAACTTTTGGGAGGTAGCCCAAGATAACAGACTGAACATGTATACTTATCTTTTAAAAAGACATTGGAATATTTCCCCAAGAGAGACACATCTGTACAGGAAACAATGAACAAAGAAATAAATAGGCTAAGGATGAAGACAAGGCACACATTGACGTGCCACAGCCACTGCTTCAGTAAGCAGCAGTGGTGGTTCTGGGCACTGTACACCCCAGCACTTTAGGAGGCTGAGGCAGGAGGATCAAGAGTTGAGGTTGTTATCTTGAGCTACAGAGACAGGCATGGAGAGAGAAAGCCAAGAAGGGAGATAGAAGATGCATACCTCTCTGAGGACCAGGAGTTATTCTGTTGAAAGTCTCATGAAATACATTGTTAACAAAGAGCAACTCAAAAGTACAGAATAAAACCTTTTCAGGAGGCACTTCCCTGGGGAGGGGGGATTCCTTATCTTGTCTTAGATCCTTGAAGCGGGGTGTTAACCTCTATAGTCACTCACTGTGACTGTCTGCCTCCTACCCAGAATAGCAAGGGACACAAGCTTTAGTGCCCACACCTTTCCCTCAGATTTTAGGGTAGAGGAAGACTGTTACCCACTTCTCTTTCTCCGCCACTATTTGGTGGAGGAGGGGGCGGCAACTCCTCAGAATTTCTAGAGAACACAGTTTTTCAGGTGAACTGCCTGACGTTGCAGAGTTAGGTCCTGACCTTTCTGAACACATACGCTCCCCTCATCTGGTCTGTGGATATCTGGGGTTCGAGGTGTGTGTGTGTGTGTGGGGAAATGCTGCCTGCTCCCACCCAAATGTCAATTGCTGCCTCCAACTCTCACCCCAGCACCATTGTGTGACAGTTCGAGGACTTCCAGAGTACTTTCCACAGCACTATCCTGAAAGGCAAAGGGCACCTGGAACTTCACACATTACTAAATCTTGGTGGTCCATTAGCGCCACCTCAGTTTGACTTCAGATCCAGTAAACACTTAGGAACTTATTTCCGATTGGCTCCACCTTCTTGGAGGGTGGTGGTGTTGAGATGCTCTGGAAGGCTTACAGGCTGTACACTGTCTCTCCCTTCGTGCTTGCAGTCTTCATTGAATAGGTGGGGCTGGGATCCTGGGGCGAAAAAACATTCTTGTGGGAGGCTGAGGGAACCTGCTATTAGTCCCCAGCAGCAGCACGCAGATACCGCACAATATTTAGGTGGCCCCGCTCCTGGGCCAGGTCCACCGGCAGGCGGCCCCAGGCATCACGCACATCCAGCCTCGCCCCTGCCTGGTGCAGCGCCACCAGCGTGTCCAGGAAGCCCTCCCGGGCCGCGTCGTGCACCGGCCGGGTGAGGGTTGCGGGGTCCGTACAGTTGGGTTCTGCTCCATGGAGCAGCAGCAGTTCAGCAACCTGGGCACTGCCCATCATCATGACCTGAAGGGAGGAAGAGCAGAGAGCTACTGTGAGTCCAGACAGGGAAATGCCTGTCAGGGCTCTTGGAATGATTTTATTGAACCCTGTTACAATCTTAAGTTCCTAGCCACTGTAGTGCACGCCTCAGGTCTCATCCGCTCCCTCCCCACTCCATTTACATTCTTTTTTTTTTAAATTTATTTTTTATTTTTGGTCTTTTTGAGACAGGGTCTCCCTGTAGCCCCAGCTGGCCTGGAACTCACTATGTAGACCAGGCTGGCCTGGAGCTCCCAGAGATCGTCCTGGCTCTGCCTGCCTCCCAAGTGCTGGGATTAAAGGCGTGCGCCACCACGCCAGGCATCCAGTTATATTCTTGACTAAACTCAAATTAGATTCCATTTTGTTCACTACAGGTGAAGAGACCTGAAAGGGCAAGAACGATAGTGAAATGACTGTAATTGTGGAGCACTGGACAAGAGGAATTTGTTAAATGGTTTGTGAGCTCAGCTCGAATGGCTTTGAAAGTTTTCAGTTGCTTTGCATGCTGCTTCCTCTGTCCCTGAGTCTAGCAGTGTTAATTAGGTACCTGCAAACTGGAATAATGCTTTAGGAGAGCAAATAAGAAACTCAGTTTAAAAAACAAACAAACAAACAAACAAAAAACCGTTTACTTTGTTTAGTTCTCATGGCAAAGTCCCTGGGATGGGTTTTGCTCTTTCAGTGCTATTTGTACTCGCAAGACTGATTGTAGTCTGATGATTTGAGCCGGAATAGGAGATTAGAGGAGAAAAAGTAAATGAAATCATAGTCCATGGCATGTATATTATGAAAAACAATGATTGTTGTAAATAAATGGTTCACCACTTTACCTTAATATTACAGTCTTAAATTTAGAGTGCAATACACCATAACATGAAACTAACACTACATTTACATTGTACAAGATTTATATAATGTTAAGTGGTAAATATTTTTCCATATAAAAAGCTTGGCTGGTAGTGGTCAAATCACAGAATTCGGGGGGAAAAAGCTGCTTTAGATGCATAATCTCACTTAGAACCATCTGTATATGTGAACACTATACAAGCCTGTGCTTTCACATTTTAAGTTAGCACTAAAACCATTTTTGATTATCAAATGTTCAAAACAGTTCTTGTGAGCTTATGTGCTTTGATGTACTATGTAATAAAGGCAGTATATGTTCATCAGTTTTTAAATATTAGAAACATTCATTTCTTCTTTTAAAATCCATAATCATAAGTTATTTCTTTTAGCGAGCTAAAGGGTTTTACATGTATATAATGATAAAAATTCTTAAAATAAAATTGTAACTAAGACTCTTTTTCTTACAGTTAAGTCTTTATAATCACTTTACAATATTTTTATTGTTTTAAAATATCCCTTTGTTAAATTTCCTAAAAATTCAAAAGAATAAAAATTTATTTTTTGTTCAAAGCATACAGTATTAACTAAGTCTCTTAGTGCAGGAGAGGGAGCACAAAACCATTGTCTTAGATCTTAAGAAATTAAAGAATCAGTACTAATTAAAGCAGGACTATGAAACAGTGAATAAATATCTCAACAGTGTAAAGAATATGTATGAAAACCCTTTGCCGTTCTAAAAGGATCCAACATTTGCTGTAGGAATGATTCTGTAACTGAAGCACTGCCTATGTTCATCAAACATTGTAGCAGTACAGAAATGTGCTTTTCCTCTACTTATGTATCATCACTGAGATGTTAAGATGCTGCTAATATCAAAGGAATCAGGTACTGTGGTTGGGAAAGCCTGTCTTCTGTGAATGCAGTTCGCCTCTATGAGGGAAAAAATAGAAAATATTCATGTAGTGGTTTAAAAGTTCATAGTAGAAGTTCTTAAATTTAGTTCAGGCAATGTAGCTGGGGAGTCATGTTTACCGCGTAAACAACCGTCGTCTCCAATTAACGCTTTTCCACTTTCCTGATTATCTTCCTTGCTTCTATGATTGTAAGATGGCAGAACAAATATCGCTATTTTTCCACCACTGAAAACACCAGGAGTGCAGCTCGGTAGCAGCGCACTTGCCCAGCCCATAGGAGGCCTTGAATTCCAGCCCCAGCGCCGCAAAACGAAGAAAAACCCGAAGCACAGCACTGTGGGGTTTTTTCCAGTCTTGTTTTTGCACCCTCAGAATTTGCCGATAAAGACCTGCCTCCCACCAGGCTGCACCAGTCCCTCTCGGAGTCCGGTCCCCGCTGCGGGCCGCGGGGCGCGCCGCGTGTGTGCGCCCCCTGCCGGCGAGGCCCGGGCCCAGCTACCTGGATCGGGCGCCGGCCGAAGCGGTTGACTCGGTTGGGATCTGCGCCGGCTTCCAGGAGCTGCCGCACCTTCTCCACTTGTCCGCGCGCTGCGGCGGAGGCCAGGCCCGCGTCGCCGCCACTGCCACCGCCACCGAGCGTGCCCTTGTCGTCCTCGGGCATCCCGCAGATGGCCGTGAGGTCTGCGGTGCCCTCGTCCGTGCCCAGCCACCCGGCGGCCCTCGGCTCCGTGAGCGGGCACCCTTCCCGTAGTCTGGAACTCGCGGGCGCGTGCGGACTGCGCCTGGGAACCGCACGAGAAGCTCCGGCCGGGTGCGGAGCCAGCTCGGAAGGAGCGGCAACCCCCTGCTGCCCAGTCGCACGCCCCGCCCCCTTAGGCCCCGCCCCTTCGCGGATGGCCCGGCGCTTCCCGCAGGCCCCGCCCACGGCCGTGACGTCACAGCGCCCCGCGGGGAAGGCTGGTCCGCCCCGAGGTAGCAGACGCATGCGCCCCAGACAGCCGGCGAGGCGTTCGGTCCAGCCAAGGCTGTATCTGGTGGTGATCGCTGCACCCAGCAGGCGGAGCAGAGGCCGTCATTTAGCCCCAGGCCAGCGCATTTCCTGCCGGAGGCCTTGCAGTAGCGTAGCTGGGAGAAAGCCTTTTTCTCCTGGGGGCTCCCCTAGCTGCTTGGAAGGCAGAGACAGGAGAGTCCCCTGAATCTGAGCGTGCCAGGCCTGTGTTGTAGACAGACCTCTTCTCAAAAACCAAATCATAAAAACCTAAGATCCCAGTTCCGTATGTGTACCGTATGTTTGCCCTTTATTTAAACCCACCTCACCAGGTATTTGATTTTTATTTATCATGTGTAATAAAGGGCACTTATGCAATAATAATGAAACAATAAAATGAGGGTGTGGTGCTGGGCCTCTCATTAAACAGGCTAAACCTGTCATTAAACCCTAAATCTAAATCTAAAGATTTAAAGATCAAGTGTTGCTTTTCTTGCTAATCCTCCTAGGGGAGTTTGAATGAACGTACTTATTGATTTAAAAATTTAAAATATTACAACTGATGGTACAGGGAAGAGACCCAGAAGTTGTGTTTCTGTTGCCGACCAGCTCTAGTGAGATATTACAAGGGAGTGGCTGAGCAGTTCTTACAAAATGAGTTCAAAGTGCTGAGGAAGATATTCTTATAAGGAGGTCAATTGCTGTCTTATTAAAAAAAAAAAAATCCAAAGACTGTAGAACATAGTTTCTGGAATTCCTTTAGTCAGATTACCCCTGTGGAAAGAGGAACTGCTCTTTCCTTTCAAGGCAATGGTGCATGAAAATGGTGGCCAGCGATGACATACTGGCCATCAACAGGACTGACCCCCCCCCTCCCTGGATACGGGAGAGAGGGAAAGTGTTAATTTACAACCCCGTTTCTTAGTTTTCAGTTTCTTAATTCTTAATTTTACTCTTATTTGAAAGTCCACATTTATCTGGAGAAGATGTCCTTTTATTTGTTGCTGGCCACTCCACCGAGCCTTGAACAGAGGAACAGAAGTCTATTTCTGGGTGAAACACGTGCATGAACTGTTTATTTCTTCTTAGGAATCAGTCCCAGCGTATGCATTGTCACAGGTGTAGGTAGTTAGGATGGGAGGAAGAAGAACGATGGATAGTGGGAAGTCAGAGCCTTTGCAATGAATGGCTGGCGGTTTGCCAGTCAGTGGAGGCACTGAATCACCAGACTGATGTTAATGAGTGTGAGGCAAATAGACTTAAACAAGCACTCTCACAGAGAACCATCTTCCCAGCTCCAGAAGTCTGTTAAAGATGTAGGGATCTTTAAACTAGTGGATCCAGTAATTAAATCTAGTTCAACATAACCTAATTGACTATGTCCTATATTCCAGGAGTCATAAGTTTTGAAAGATAAAAGTCCTAGATTTGAAAATATTCTCCATATTAGAATTTAAAACTCACAGGCTTTAAATTTAATGTGATTGTTATACTGAGAGATATGTTTACTCAGTATTTTAGGATTAAGGAAGAGTGGAGCTTAACTTGGGAGAAGATTCAGAGAATGTTTTTGGGGAAGGACTATTGAAGAGATATTTGTTTGCTTAATTTTTTAAAAATAAAAAGTCTCCACAGCACTTCAGATTCTTTTAAGTTACTTTTATTTATTTGTATTTTATCTTTAATGTCTTGTTACATGTATGTAAGTGTACTCAGTCATGCAATGTCCACAGAGGAGAGAAGAGAGTGTCGGCTGGAATTATAGACAGTTGTTAGCCACCATATAGGTGCTGGGAACCTACAGCACTCTCTGGAAGATCAGCCAGTGATCTTAATCACTGAGCTATCTTTCCAGACTCTGCATACGTTTTGTTTGTTTGTTTGTTTTTAGCATTGAGGATTGAACCTTGTGTGTACTAGGCAACTGTTCTGCCACTGAGTTGCATCCCTAGCATGCTTTAAAGTCATTAAAATATTCATCACAACAAACTGCTTCTTGCAATCTCACTTAGAGCTTTGGACTTCTCTGCAATTTTCCAAACGTTCAGTAAAAGTCTGTACCAATTTCTGAGCAACCTTTTAAAGTAATAGCCATCGTCAGTATTCTTTTCTGGGGGGAAAAAAGCACTATTTAGGATTTTTAAGGAAATGGAAAAGAATTGTTTTCATTTGATGGGAACACAGGAAAAATATGGAAAGACAGGAAAAAAATAAACGAGCAGAATCCATGAGGCAGATATGGGAGCGTTGCTAATCAAGTTGAAGAAAAAGCATTTGGGTTGGGGGAAATGCTTGCCAAAGGCAAACGCAGTTAGCACCACGGACAGCACCACCCTGTCTCGCAGGCCTGGGTGGTCCTTTTCTGTTGTAAACAGACAATTATAGAAGCATCAAACTTGGTCTTCTAATCCCTTTTTCCTCTCCTAAATAAAAAGAAGCCAGAGGGGGTGGGGGCTGCAGAGATGATTCAGAGGTTAAGAGCAGTGGCTGTATTTGCAGAAGACCTGGGTTCGATTCCCAGCACCCACATGGCAGCTAACAATCGTCTGTAATTCCAGTTCCAAGGGAATCCAACACTCTTTGACCTTCAAGAGCATTGCATGATGTGGGTGTACTTACATACATGCAGGCAATACACCAGACACATAAAAAAAAAAAAAGACACCATCCAGGCATATGGGTGCTCTCCTGTAATCCCAGCATTCCGGAGGCTGAGGCAGAAAGACTGTGAGTTTAAAGCCAGCTTGGGCTACAGGGCCAGGCCTTGTTTCAGAAGATCACAAACAGAACAAAGGAAAACCACCCTATAAGGAAACTGGATTTTTTTTTCCCCAAATCAACCTGCCCAACCTGTCTTCCAAATATTATTGTGTTATCTAATGTGTGCTCTGCAAAGAACAATATTCACTGTATTTGAAAGAAGAGAGGGAAAATAATTTTTATTTTGTTTCCTGTTCACGTGCCTTACAGGCATTATTTCATTTGACCTGCATAAAACTCCTATGTAGCATGCATTGGTATCTTAATTTTATAGATAAGACAAAATAATCATAGAAATTAAGGAACTTGCGTATTAGTTGATTATTGGAGGTAGGGACTGAGGTGTATGGCTTCAGAGCCTCTGTTCTTTACACTAACTAGTGTATAACAGCAGTGTGTTAGGCTTAATAGAAAGAAAGCAATGAAATAGCTAATAACTATTTTCTACACTTTTTTTTCCAGGTACCTCACAGCACACTGTAGCCTTTGAAGATGACATTTCACACATACTTCTAATATGATAGCACATTGTCTTGGGCAATAGAGTGATATAGTGAACCATTTATCTGTCCCTGGAGCCCAGCTGCCTCCAGGATGAAGCACAACCTGATGTTAATGCCTCAGACCCAGTGAGAGATGAAGCAGGTGGAAACAGAGGCAGCAGAGGTGTCTCAGTCACATGTCAGGAGTGTGGAGGACTGATAAGTGAGGAGAAAGACAAAGCAAATGCTAAACTGACTTTGAATTTGGGAAGTAAATTGGAGGGGATGAGGAAGATCATTTTCAACATGTGTATAATGCAGATCATTTGTGAGGTTTATATTCTAATTGGTGACACTAACTAGGTAGGACTCACCATAAAAAGTATGAATAGAATTAGGTAAATGCATAAGAGAAGTAGTGGCACAGCCAAGTCCTCATTTGTGTTCTTTTTACAATGTTTTAAGTGGGGAGAGAATAAACTCAAGAATCCCTTCTGGGACTTTTCCAAATTATGCATGACCTATCTCTTTCCTCTCCAGGAGACTTGAGTTTCTATTCAATTAGTTGGCAATTATTGCTCCAAGATCCACAGTACATACCATTTTATGTCTTTTGTATCCCTGTGAGTTTGTTCCTCCCTCCCTCCCTCCCTCCCTCGCTCCCTCCTTCCCTCCCTCCCTCCTTCCCTCCCTCCCCTTCCTGGTGTTTTGAGACAGCTTCTAAACTGTCCAGGCATGGAACTTGCTATATAGTACAGCCTAGTCTCAAACTTTTTCTCGTCCTGTCTCAGCCTACCAAGTGCTGGGATTATAGGCATGTGGGCAGGTACCACCATCTCTGCTGCTGCTGACTCCTCTCCCTGCCTCCCCATTCCTTCCCACCTCCTTCCTCTACTAGATAGCCAAGATTCTCTCTGAATTCACTATCCTGCATCTGCCCTTCAGGTATTACAGTTGTACACCAGCACATATGGCTTGTTTTTCTTTCTGTGGTTCTACTACCCATTGATAATTATTTCTTTGATTTGTTATTTCCTTAGGAGGTTTGAAAATAGGGATATCTTAATTTTACCATCCCCTCTTCATTTACCAACAGGAATATATCTATAAAGAGAAACGTTTTCATTTTCTCTTTGGCACATACAGAACTGGGTAAACACTAAAATGTTTTTAAATTCACTTTTAAGTTTTCAAGATGATGAGTTTTCTCTATCATCTTCCAAAGATGGTTAATGATTTGAAAATAATTATTATAGACATAGATTTAATTAGTGTGACTTGGTCCTGTGGAGTTATTCTTGTTGATGCTTAAGCCTTATTTTTGGTAACTGGCCCCTGAAAGTTTGTTTGTTTGTTTTTTGACATGACCCCAGTGATCTTTGTTAACACCTTTGATTTCTGACATAACAATATATTCCAGTTTTATCTTGGACATTTCCTATTGTATACATATTATTAACTATTTATTTGAAGACTTCTGGTTCTTTTTAGTGGAAAATAATATTTAAAAGCCACAATC